TGATGATCCACTCTGTGTTAATATATGGAGAGGGTGAGTTTACTGGAATATACTGTGTTTTGCTAAGATATACAGAAATATACTGAAATATATTTTAAGATGTCTTTAATTTCCTGTATTTGAATATACTTTGTTTTACTAGAATATAAATGAAATTTACTAGTTACATGCACTTATGTCTTTTAGGTTTTTGTCTACACTTGAAGAAAATGCATCAAATGAAAATGACCATGAAGAAGGTACATGTACACATGTATACCATATACTGGGATATTTTCGCGTCACAAAATTTTCGCGAATTTTGCTTTAGTAAGATTTCACGAAATAATATTTTCGCGAATAGCCTGTAAACTCCACCACGTGGCAATGGAAATTTAGAATTTCGCGATTTTAATTTTTGCGATGGAGCAAAAAACGCGAAATTCACGAAAATTTGGCTACTCGAAAATTTCCCAGTATACGGAAATTAAACACTACTACTTGTGTACATGTACATGTACATTGTATTACATGTACTTACTCCTTTCCTTATCTCTCTATCAGACCTACCTGTTACTCATCTCCAGTTATTGTTGTTGGTGTGGGGTAGTTTCTCTGATAGTGTTAGGAAGGAGTTACTACTCAAGTGTGTAGCAGCTGTCAATAAAGTGGCCGAAGAGAAAGAGTGAGTCATTTTGATTTTACATGTACATGTACATGTAAGTGTTATTTACATACATGTATGTGTGCCTGAACATTTACCTGTACATGTACATGTACATGTATGTTTGTGACATGTTTCTGAAGTATAGAATGTCTTCTCAGGAACATTATGTCACGATTTTACAACCACGCAAAAACAGGCTAGTACATGTTATAAAGATCACATGTAAGTGTTATTTACATGTACATGTTACATGTAAGTGTGGCATGTTTCTGAGGTATGGGGTTGTTTCTTACAAGCATTATGTCACAATTCACAAACATGCAGAAACAGGCTAGTACATGTTATAAACATGCATTAATCATGCAGGTACATGTGTACATGCACAAACATGCATGTGTTTTTTCCTGGGTGCATTTCTAAATGAACATGTTATTGCATAGTTCATGATCATGTTTCAGGAAACCATATGCATAACTTAAAAGTAAAAATCATATTTTTGATTACACGATAAAACATGAATGTTTGATCATGTCACTTAATGAAGCATGCAACTGTTCCTTAATTACATGTATAATTTTTGCCTTTGTTTTACTGAGTTTTACTGATATGCAGGTCAGGATATGTTGTTCCTCC